TTTAACTCTAGCTTAATTCACTCTAATGGCCTAATGATTCTCACGAATTCATTCGATGATTAGTTCAAACGTGTAGTCAAGACTCCTCTCTCGATTAAATCTTAACTCTATGAGGTAAACTAATATAAGCACTGTGAAGTATGCAAGCATGTGTTAATGGATTGGTCCTTAGGAAAACGTCTCTCGAATATTCTCCTAACTTGATTTAATCAACAATTCAACAAGCTCTTCCGATTACTCAAGAGAATCAATGAATTAAATCAAATAAAATAATGCAACGCTAATCACCAAGATATTCCTCTTTCGATTAAATAAACTAATGAATAAAGTTGCAACAATTCAAAACTCCATAAACAAATTCAAGCACGAACTAAAGTTAAATTCACAAATAATTATCAACACACAAAATCCGTCAAACCCTACAGAAAACTACTCCATAATCATATAGGAAGTCATCACAAATATAATTAAAGAATGAGAAAACATCAATTTAACGTTACAATCCAAACTCCCGTATTGAATTGATGGTAAGATGATGAAATCTTGTGTCTTGTAGCCTCCAATGCTCTCCCAAAGCTTCCAAGGTCAAAAGTCCCTTAAAAAACGTCTTTTTGGTGTATTTATACCCTGTAGTAAGGGTGACAAGTGGGCCGGTCCCGGGCCTAAACGGGCTAAGTAGTCCGGGCCAACCGGTCCCAAATTAAACGGGCCAAACGGTCCCGGGCTAAACAGTCTTTTTGTAGGGACCGACTCGGGACCGGGACCAGGACCGGGACTGTTTGATCTCGGGCTAAACGGTCCCGGCCCGCAGACTAAATGGGCTAAGTGGGCCCAATAGATTTTTTTAAAAAATTAAATAGAAATTAGAGACAAAAGGATGTTTAAAATAATATCTAACGCAATGCCTTGTAAAATTTATTATAGAATTATGACCTAAATTTTTAAATATTTTTTAATTCAAATTTAAATCTAAAGACAAAAATATTGTAAAGAGATATTCAAAGCAATGCGCCGTAATTTTATTATAGCATTAAAAAAATATGGCAATATCTTTTTTAGTATTTATCCCCCTATGGAATGAGCACAACAAGGTGCTAATACCACCATTGAGAAGAAAAAGAAACTAATCAAGATGTGCCAAAAAATAAGTTACATAATACATACTAATTTTTGTTCATACAAGTTATACGGTATCTCTTACAAACTTCATAAAATTCTCATACCATCACCCACAATTAAATGGTAAATATGACAAATACATCTAACATGAAAAATATCACTAAATGCAGCATTTAGCTTTGAGGTAAGCAAGGCTATAGCATTTGTATTACTAGTAGCATTATCCATTGAAACTGACATTATTTTATCACTAATGCAAAAATATCTACAAATATATATAACTGTGCTAGCAATAAACTGTCATGTATGACGTGAATTAATTATTCTATAAGAAATAATGCGCTTTTGCATTATCCAATCCTCATAAATCCAATAACTGATAACAGTAAGATAATCACAGTCGTTACCACTTCTACCAATATCAGTTGTAATAGCAATACAATAATTTATATGAGTAAATAAATAGCGCAAATATTATTCATATTCATGTTTATATTTATAAATATCGCTCTTTACGGTTGTGCGAGGAAAACCTTTATAAGTAGGATTAAAAAATTTTCTAATATAATGCACAAAGTTAGGGTCAGAAGGAAAACTATAGGGTAAACACATAACAGTTACCATTTTTGCCAATTCTTCCCGATCTTTTTTTGGATCATAATATAAAATACCACCGGTAACCGTGTTAATTCCCGGTTGAAATTGATTTGAACCGGTACTAGGGTTAACCTGACTAGGAGTAGGTAGACTTTTCCCCTCGGCCAAAGCTTTCATACGAAGATATTTCACTCTATCTTGAGGGTGTTTTAATATGTGTCTAGCAAAAGTTCNTACCAGGAGCATGACTAGTTGGTGTATCATCATCCGGTTGAGTTTCATCAAAATCTATTTCCTCATCATCATTTTCATCAATAGTTGGATTAGAATAAAGAGCATTCATTAATTCATGGTCTAATTGTTCACCAGCTCTAATATTATAGCAAAATTGACTTTAAGTAAATTGTAATAAACTATTATCGCTATCAAGAATAGTAGGTGTAGGACGGATATGGAGTTTGGTTCGGGGAGCCCGGGGCAGTGGAGGAGAAACAGATTGAGCACTAGATTCGTCACTCTTGGATTTACCCTTATTTTTACCAAAAAGTTATTTTAAGGAAGCCATATTAATTAATAAAGTAATAAAAAATAAATAAAACAAACAAAACTATAATATTAAAACTTAAGAGTTGAAACGAGTTTACCGAATTGACGAACAACTTGTTAAAAATTGATTATCGTTGAAGACTTCAATTCACCAATTTCACAATTGTTTCACGAATTGCAATAATAAAGTAAGCAAAAGTAGCAATTATAGAAGAAAATTAGAGAGAGATTGTGATAGATTGATGATTTTGTAAGAAAAATGAAAGAATGATGGGGTATTTATAGTTGAAAATAGGGAAAAAGTATAATTATAAAAAGTTTGGGATTAAAACAAAGTTGGGGGGTTAAATGGCTATTTTATAAATAGCCAACGACTATTTTTGACAGCCCAACGGCTATATTTTTATTTATTTTTTTTAAAATATAGCCATTGGGACCGTTTAGCCCGCTAAGCGACCGGTCCGGTCCCTGGCGGGCCAAATGGCCCCGGACCTGGCGAGCCCAAAGCATAGGACCGGCCCAGACCCACTAAAACCGGCTCAAACGGTCCTAGCCTGTTTGGCCAGTTTGGCCCGCGATCCCGTGCCTGGATCGGCCCACTTGCCAGCCTTACCCTATAAGAATGGGCCCAGGCAAAATTACCTTTTTCAAGTCGAAACAGGACAAATACTCTGAAAAAATTGCACAGGCGCGTCGCGCATTGCGCCGCCCCATGCAAGGCGCTAATGGGGAAGTTCAGAGAGCAAGTTCTGACAGATAGCAACGAAATATACTATTGCGCTGCCCCATGCGGCGCGACAGTGGATGTTTTCCAGAGTGAAAAGTTTTTCTTCGATTTTTTATAGCCAGACATGGCTCCCGACCCCCAAACGCGATCCCGGTTTAATCCCTTGTGCTTTTACTTAGACTTCAAAGCTCCAACTTGTTCCATTTAGCTCCCGAATATCTTTTTATCTTGAAATCACTTCCTACAAAGCATAAAATACATAATAACTGCAATACACTAATATTTAAGCTCAAACACAAACAAAATGCAGTAATTAGAGTTCAAACTATGACTAAAACACGTAATTCTAGCATACCCTCAACACCCCACACTTAAACCATTGCTCTTTCTCGAGGAATCAAACTGCACTTCATATAGAGACGATCTTCTTATCAGGCAACTTCCCTAACTCATCATGTCAAGAATATTTAAAGCAGACTAAGCACCCTATCATAACATCCTAGCCTCAAGATTCGACGCAAAAGCACCACGCATTTTCCACAACATGCTCACTTACTCTAACACAGAGGTCAACAAATTCACCTTATCTTCGAAAATCATGTGTCCTCACACAAACAATAGAGAGTAGTTCCACACACAATAAATTTCAAGAACAATTAGAAACTCAAGATAGAAAGAATTCGCTCACTCTCATAATTAAGATTCATATGCCACAAAAGATGTACCATAGGCTTGCTCGTTGTGTAATACCCTACTAATTGAGCGCATTCAGTCAAGGATCAAGTAGAACTTAATTTGGTTGTAATGTTGGCTGCGGGACGGATATGATAGATTTGGATATAGTGGCTACACCTCCCTAAGCACTTTAATACATATACATTAACAATTCAAATCTCATACTTATGTTGAACAACCCCCAACCTTCACGCATTAAGCTCCCACTTCCTTTAAGCACAAACAAGATGAGAATTACCACTAGCAAGGAATCAATTTTTTCCTTTTCTAAGTTCTAATTTTTTTCTTTTCTATTTTTTCAATCAAACTCTTTTTTTTTTCAATTCTATACAAGTAGCTCTCACAATTTTCCAAAAAGTGAACCTTTCTCTTTTTTCTATAGTTCCACTCAAAACCCACAAAAGCAAGTGCTTACTAGATGTAAAAGGTTCAAACAAATAAATAATTTAAATAAAGGGGTCAAGCTTGTAGTATGGTTGCCAAAGAAATAGGATTACAGGCTCAACGGGGCTAACGAAGATACATCACAATTAGGTGGGTAAAACATATATCTGGCTTCAACAAAGAAATGCCTATATCACTTTCTAGACTAAACAAGACTACTATTTTTCTTTGCAAACACATGGGGTAAGTTCTCGACATCAACCGACATGCATAGAATTTCAACAAAATTTCACACACACATTGGCACATAACTCACTTAGGATCGGATTTATCCCGACTCTCTAGTCAAAGCAGTTAAGCAAAGTTGCAATCAAATAATTTATGGTACTTATTTAAGAGTCAAGAACTGAGCCTAGGCGTCACAACTAAGGCACTCACTGCTCTCAAGGCACAAAAAAGTCAAGGAAAGTCATCTCCATTTAATACATAGCACAAGACTTCACTACTCCTACTAAAAGAAAAACTAAATACACCCGGTTCAAACAAAACCCTTGAAAAAGAACCGCCGCACAAAAAAAACCAAGGGGGAATTATTACACTACCTAAGAAAAATAAAATATTTTTTTCTTCGACTTTGATCCCTCAAGAAGATGGTTGAGGAAATCTGTCGTCGGGAAAAGTCAAAAAACAAAATCAATCAAAAGAAACGACTACAAACACACACACACACACACACACACACACACACACACACACACACATATATATATATATATATATATATATATACACACACACACACACACACACACATTCCCCACCCCCACACTTTATTTATGGCATGTCCCCATAACACACAAATAAAAAGCAAGATATAACTTCCCTGATTCATCTAGTCGGGGTCAGAATCGTCGGGATCTCCCTTGCACGCCTGACCCAGTGCACACATCCATGCTGAGAGCTTCTTTTCAGCCTTCTTTGGGTACACCCCACACTTAGCAGCTTCACTCTTTCCAATTTGCTCTTTCAGGGCCCTCATTTCTCCTTCCATTTTGAAAATTAGTCGGTCATCCATCACTTTGAGCATTAGATGCCTTTCCTGAATATCCAGAATTGCTCTGCCTGTAGCCAAGAAGGGTCTTCCTAAAATCAAAGGGACCTCCCTATTCTCCTCCATGTTGACCACAATAAAGTCCACATGGAACATAAATTTATCCACCCGAACCAACACATCTTCAATGATTCCGTCAGGTATGATGGTGGTCTGATCCGTTAGCGGGAAGGACACAGGTACCGACCTGATCTCTCCAATTTTTCCCTCCAATTTTCTGAAAATAGACAAGGGCATAAGATTAATGGAAGCACCTGAATCACACAAAGAGTTTTGAAATTTAGTACTTCCTACAGAGCAAGGTATAGTAAAACTCTCTGGATCTCCACATTTTAAGGGAGCTTATTTTGCAAGATGGCATTGCAATGCTCTGTCAACTTGACAACCAATGTCTCTTCCACTTTTCGCTTCTTGGAAAATATTTCCTTCATGAATTTGGCATATACTGGCATCTGCGAAAGCATCTCTGTGAAAGGTATATTCACATGCACCTGCTTGAACACTTCTAGAAAGTGCTCGAATTGTTTATCCAGCTTTTCTCGTCTTTGTTTCTGGGAGAACGGTAGAGCATGTATGTATTTGCTATCTTCAGTCTCATTATTTGTTGTATTATCATCCTTCTTCTTTTTCTGAGATCTCATCTTCCCTTTCTTCTCCAGACCATCATCTACCAGCCCTGCACCTTTTTGAATGTTATCATTTTTCTGCTCTTCCATAATCTCTACCTGTCTTTCAATCGGCTCATCCTTTTGCTTTGCTATGGGATCCTCCAACTTGTGCCCACTCCTCAAAGACGCTGCATTGATTGTCTCTTTTGGATTTCTTTCTGTATCAACAGAGAGCATTCCTGGAACCCTCTTAGACAATAGAGTAACTAGTTGCCCAACTTGTCTTTCCAGGTTTTGAAATGATGTTCCCAGTTCTTTGATAGTTGCACCGTGGGTGTCAAGCCTCTCATCTGTCTTAATAATAAAAGCCTTCATCAGATCTTCCATACTTGACTGATTAGACTATGGAGGCTGATATTGCTGCCTCTGCTGATTTTGAAAGCTAGGAGCTCCTTGTCCCTGAGGTCTAGAGTTATATTGTTGCCATGAGTCCAGGCTTCCACTTGGTGAATTCCAAGAAAATCATGGGTGCCTCTGTCCCATAGATATGAAATTATTACCACTCTTGTAGTTGCCTCTATCAAAGCTTCCCACATTATTTACCACTTTATATGCAGCTACGACCTGGCACTGATGCATTGGATGACCCATTCAACATCACAAACTGGTGATGGTTGGCTATGGACCTTGGCTAAGGTCAATTTTCTTATCTCTTTGGCCATGGCGACTAGTTGGGCTTGCACTGCTGTGTTGGAATCTACTTTATGAACCCCAACCGATCTTCTTCTATCATTACTCTCGGCTGGCCACTAGTTGGCATCTTCAGATAGCTTATCAAGAATTGCCACAAACTCCTCAGGAGTCTTCTTCATTAAAGGACCTCCAACTGCAGTGTTCAGAGTTCGTCGTGAAGAGGGTGTCAGTCCATCCCAAAAGTCCTGGAGTTGCATCCACAATTCAATCTCATTATGCTGACACTTCCTCACTATCTCCTTGAATCTTTCCTAAGCCTCGAAAACTGTTTCAGTGTCAGTCTGGCAGAAGTTGTGAATTTCCTTTTTGAACTTTACTGTTTTTGCAGCTAAGAAGTATTTGTCAAGAAACTTTCTAGTCATATCCTCTCATGTCCTGATCGACCCTGTTGGTAAGCTACGAAGCTAATGCTTCGCATCATCCTTCAGTAAAAAGGGAATGCCCTTAGGTAAACTACATCTTTTGATACTCTGTTGTACTAGAAGTTGTTCATGATTTTCTCAAAATCTAATCAAGTGAGTGTTAGGATCTTCATTTACCTTCCCTCTGAAGACACAGTTGTTCTGGATAGTTTGAAGCAATCCTTGTTTCAACTCAAAATTATTTGCTGCTACTGGTGGAGGTCTGACACTGGACAGTCTCTGATTGTAGACTGGTATGGCATAATCACCTAATGTTCTACCAGGCATGGGTACATCATTCTCGAACTGGTCTTCAATCAAGGGTCGATTTAGAATGAATGTTCGACCCCCATCATCGTTGACGGTCTCATCAGTAGCTCTATGGGCTGCCTCAGCTGCTATCCTTCCAGTTTCTTCTCTAAGCTGTGCTGCTTTTATTGCAGCTAAATTTACTTCGCCCTTACCGTTTTTAGCCATGTGTTCTGGGGTTGAAGGTTGCCCCAAAAAATTTTCGGTGAGTTCTTTCTCTTTCCTCAATTGTCGCAGACTCTTTTCCACCTCTAGATTATATGGAATCAATTCCTTTGAAGAAGATCGAGTCATACACCAAAAGAGTCAATTTGTTGCCTGCAGACGGAAGAGGAAACCCGTGAAGAATAAAATAAAATAAAATAAAAATTCCTTAATTAACACCAAAAACTATTTTGAACACTATTGATTGCCAATCCCCCGCAACGACGCCAAAATTTGACGAGCAAAAAATACAACATGAAATTGATTCTCGCTAATATAAGATAGTGTAGTATGATATCGTCTCCATATGAATTGGATTTAAATAATGTTCAAGTAATTCCTGGTTTAATTTCTATTCAGGAGGATCAACACTTGAGTTAAATGATTATGATCTAAGTTTAACTACTAAAATAACGTAATTGACAATTGACAACAAGGAATTAGAGATTCGCATAGTGGTTTCTTATCAATGTGAGGAATAAGGGTTTGACAGGATAGGGGCAAGATAGCTAACTGAGATTTTAGTCTAGTTTAATTCACTCTAATGTCCTAATAATTCTCACGAATTCAATCGATGATTAGTTCAAACGTGTAGTCAAGACTACTCTCTCGATTAAATCTTAACTCTATGAGGTAAACCAATATAAGCACTGTGAAGTATGCAAGCATGCGTTAATGGATTGGTCCTTAGGAAAACATCTCTCGAATATTATCCTAACTCGATTTAATCAACAATTCAACAAGCTCTTCCGATTACTCAAGAGAATCAATGAATTAAATCAAACAAAATAATGCAAAGATAATCACCAAGATATTCCTCTTTCGATTAAATAAACTGATGAACAAAGTTGCAATAATTCAAAACTCCATAAATGAATTCAAGCACGAACTAGAGTTAAATCCACAAATATTTATCAACACATCAAATCCGTCAAACCCTACAGGAAACTGCTCCATAATCATGGAGGAAGTCATCACAAATATAATTGAAGAATGAGAAAACATCAATTTAACGTTACATTCCGAACTCCCGTATTGAATTGATGGCAAGATGATGAAATCCTGTGTCTTGTAGCCTCCAATGCTCTCCCAAAGCTTCCAAGGTCAAAAGTCCCCTAAAAACATCTTTTTGTTGTATTTATACCCTGTAAGAATCGGCCCAGGCGAAATTACCTTTTCCAAATCGAAACAGGACAAATACTCTGAGAAAATTGCACAGGCGCGCCGCGCATTGCGCTGCCCCATGCGGGGAGCTAGTGGGGAAGTTCAGAGAGTAAGTTGTGACAGACAACAACAAAATGTATTGCCGCGCTGCCCCATGCGGGGCGGCAGTGGATGTTTTCGAGAGTGAAAAGTTTTTCTTCTATTTTTGATATCCAGACTTGGCTTCCGACCCCCGAACGTGATCCCGGCTTAATCTCTTGGGCTTTTACTTAGATTTCAAAGCTCCAACTTGTTCCATTTAGCTCCCAAATATCTTTTTAAGTCGAAATCACTTCTTACAAAGCATAAAACACATAATAAGTGCAATACACTAACATTTAAGCTCAAGCACAAACAAAATACAATAATTAAAGTGCAAACTATGACTAAAACACGTGATTCTAGCCTACCATCAATGACGTAAATTCATCAACCAAAAACTACACGGGTATAGGTGGTGTAATTCGTAACAATAGAGGCGATTGGATTATGGGCTTCCCAGGTTCACTTCCCACATCCAATAGCCTTACAGCTGAAATGCAAGCTTTACTTCAAGGCCTTAAAATAGCAGTACAATTGCAACTAATGCCATTAGAAGTTGAACTGGATGCTAAGGAGGTAGTCAACCTACTAACAAAAGATCATCCTCTATACACTAATATACTCTGTGATTGCAAGCACCTTCTCCAGCTGCTACATGATCCAAATTTACATGCGTACAGAGAACAAAATAGAGAACAAAATAGAGTCGCAGAATAACTTTGCAAAATACGACAGCCAAATGGAAAGTAACGGTGCTACATCAGTTTTTGAAGCACCACTTTTTGTTTCAAGCCTCTTACTTGAAGACAAACTAGGACTAACTACTATCAAGGCAGTCCCATCAATAGCTGGGAATGTAGCCACCACCATGGATACACACACAACTTTTGCTCATCAATTGGAAGCTGGATTGGCGGAAGTAAACTCCTTTTTGACAATTGGTCTTGTAAAACCAGCTCAAAGCAGCACCTGAGATTGTAACACTAACCACATTAGAGTTAGCAATTCTAACTTATCTGCTACATCTAGTACTTCTTTTGTTTGTAATATGGTGCACATGCATCAACATCTCAGTAAACATATGTTTAATTAATGCAACTTATCTTTCCAACCAAAAGAAAATGATTAGTATATCAAAAAATATGTTTGGTCCAAATTTAACTTCTATCAAAAAACTAAGGCCAAATAGATGTACGGCCTCTTAAACTTGGCTCAAGTTTCCATTTTGACACCTTAACTAAGCTCATTTACCTATTGAACACATCAACCCAAATCAATGTATGCCTATTAAACACAAAAACTAACATGGCAAGAGAGTTGTATTTCACCCCCTCTTACGCGCGTGAATTTAATAGGTTTGAGATCATGTTTATTTTTTTTGTTTAAATCAAAATTGACATTTTTTTTCTAAAGGCCACCCATAACCACCTGATCTCTGACGAGTAACGAAAGCAGAAGAAGAACGGCAGTAAATTTTATTGTCGGAATTAATGGAGATCGCCGAAAAAGTCAAAACTCCGGTCAGGTCCAAAGAGGCGACAAGCAACAGTAATATGTTATCAAGGTTTTAACATTTACACACCAACCACGAAATCAGTAATAAACAGAACACAAACGAATCTCCGATACCATACTGATGGAAGACCAGAAATGGTGATAAATGTCGCCGATTTTCATGATAGCCCCCGAAATATTAAATGTTCGGTTACTTCTGTCAGATCTGTTCTTTTATCAGTTAAAACAACAATGAAACAGAATAATAAAGATAAAAGAGGAAAGGAAATGAGCAATGGTCGGTGGTTGCTAGAATCGCCGGATTCTTTTTTGTTTCTTTCCTTTTTTTTCTCAACTTGAATTTTTTCTTCTCGAGTTAGCTAAAAGAAGGGATTTTCAACCCAAAAAAGAAAGAAAAAAATTGATATAAATTTCTTCCTTCCCCAGATCTGAAAATCCAAAAACGATACTTGTGTTTTTTCCTTTTGACAGATGAAAACGGTAGTCTTCTGATGGTTGAAGAGCCAAGTAGATTGGGAAGGCGGAGGTGGGTTTCTAGGGAAGGGGCTGGTGGGATTCCATGGAATGAAAAAAGAAAGGGGGTGGTTGGGAAGAATGTGACAGTGGGAGGGGGGTGTTTAAAATAAATCTTTTTTGTTTTCAAAACTTCTTATTGACTATTTGGACTCAAATGTCACGTGTCTCCCTCTTATTTGTCATTTTGTTAAGTCATTTATGTGTGAATTACACGCACCTTATTGTTTTTACTGGTTATGAGTAAAGTGTTCAATAGATCACTTTATATAATATTAAGGTGTTCAATAAAAAAAGCGCTAGATTAAAGTATCAAAATGAAAATTGAAATCAAGTTTAAAGGGAGTATACCTATTTGGCCAAAAACTAAAGAAGAAGCTGAAACATGCACGTTACTCAATTTTGCTAATTTAAATCATAAAGGCCTCCTGCTCGAACTCCCACCCA